GTTTTGTGAGCTCATTTGAAAATACTTCAGGTATCTGGCATATAGACGGATTTCTTGAAATTAATGTATTTAAGCCAGTAATTCAACTTAATCTTTCTGGTTCCTTGTTGGAATTTGACTAGTTCATAGGCTTGCAGCTTTGTGAAGTGATGATTCCGTTTATCCATTCGCTGAGTGCGCTGCACTGACCTTCTTCCAAGCCTCGGTTCCTGTTCTAGGAACTTGGGGCTACGTAGCCTCCAAATGCCCTGCAGTCTGCGGTGTTCTACCGTGGGCAGCTTGTGTGTTGGTAGACTACCGGTTAGAATGGTTGGTGTCAGCAGGGATGGGTCCCTCTGGGTCCCATCTCACCAAGATGAGTGGTGGAAATCTGATCACTTGCTGCATCCCTTTATTTAGTTTTAAAAGCATATGACTTCCATAGCTATTACTGTGTTTGTAGACTGAAATTTTCCAGAAGTCTGTGGTTCTGTTATCTTTGAGGACTAAGATGATATTGGCAGGCCTGAATTATAGGAAGGGGAGATCCAGTTGGTGTGGGGGGAGGGAGGCAGGAGATGAGGACAAATATCTGTAAAAGTAGAGCTCATACGTTGCTTATAGTTGATTGAATTGTTTTTCATGCACCAATGCTACGATGAAAAGCTGGAATTGAATGCAGATAATAAATAGCTTGTGGTTACCTTTCAGGATGGAGGAAAACGTAACAAAGACTTGGAGTAGCAATACTTGAACCATAAAGAGGGGTTTGGAGGAGGATATGGTATTAGAATTTCTAATAGAGCACGTCTTACAAATTGAAACGGCAAAGTGTTTCATAAGTAGGATCATGTGAGTCTTATTTTCAGAACTAATACAAATTTAGAGTAAGTCTGCAGCTGAGCATTTTTTTTTATTTCCTCAATAATGAATATTGGGCTGAGCAAGGTATACATACTTTTCTATCTGAAATCCCCTGTTGCTTAGTTCTTGTGATCAAAATGAAAATCTGTTTTACAAGGCAGGCTTCTTGCCTGTTTTGGCTCATGTTAATAGACCATTCGTGGATGACATGTCAAATTGCCCCTCTCCCTGAAAGGGGTCTTAGTTCCTAGGCAGCAGGAAGGATAACAAGGCAAAATCCTTAGGAGATAGAAACAGTTTAAAGGGAAGACTCACTGGTGTCACATGTGCTAGCATATCCAACTTCTTCCTGTGTGCAAAACTGGTTTTTTTATTTTCAAATTTTATTTAAATTGTAGTTAACATACAGTGTAACATTGGTTTCAAGAGCAGAATCTAGTGATTCATCACTTAGTATAACACGCAGTGCTCATCAAAAGTGCCCTCCTTAATACCCATCAATTTATTTAGCCCATCCCCTGCCCTAAAAGTTCGATGTAAATGGCTATTCAGCTAGCCCCCATTATAGCAGAACAGAGTTACTGTGAGATAAATTTCTTCCCATTGTGTTGTGTCTTGTCATTTTGGTTGTATGGTGGTAGTGTAAACTGGAGTCTGTAGTCACCATAACATATACCTTATGTAAGTATTTCTCTGTTCCTCTTGTTGATTCTGAATTTCAGAATCTAGCCTTCTCTGTTGTCCAGTCACAGAGGTAGGTACCCTTTGCCATCTGTAAGCCATTAAGCCATTTGAAGATAGAGCTTTGCAGTGGTATTGTCTTGTACCGGGGTGAGTCATAAGTAAGATTTGGACCAAAAGTGGTCCTTAGCTGCTCAGAGCTCTGCAAGCAGTATGAGATGTCTCAGCTGTAAAGGTGATAAACAGGTGAGGAAATGCACAGGAATTCTGTATCAAGTGTTTCTCCTTTTCAGGTTCCCTTATAAGCATTCAGATTTATTTTTTAAAGATTTTATTTATTTGAGGGCAAAGCAGGTTCCCAGGACTCGAGGACCGTGACCCGAGCCGAAGGCAGAAGCCTAACTACTGAGCCACTCAGGCGCCCCAGAAGAAAGTTTTAAAACTTCGTTGTTTGAGAGTAGATAAACTTTTGAATTCGATACTCAGGAGGTACCTAAGGGAACTGGGAAACAGAAAAATTAATATGCCTAAGGTCAGATAGTTCTGAAGTCGGTTTCCTTGCTGATTTAAACAGCCATTCTAGGCATTTTGGCCTCTGTGGCCCAAGTCAGACTGACGGTGTTGGCCTGCCGTGCTAAGCAGTACTCTGAATACTTATTTAGGATAGGGGATGGAGGTGTATGAATGGGAAAAATATATGGAGGGGTGTTATCCATATACCCTCCATCCTGGTGTTTTATTTAGCAAGTACTGTGGCATGGGGCTGTCTGGTGTTTTGTTTTTTGTTTTGTTTTTTAAAGATTTTATTTATTTATTCATGAGAGACAGAGGCAGAGGGAGAAGCAGGCTCCCAAGGAGCAGGGAGCCCGATGCGGGACTCGATCCCAGGACCCTGGGATCATGACCTGAGCCGAAGGCAGACGCTTAACCATCTGAGCCACCCAGGCGCCCTGTCTTGGTGTTTTTGTTGACTAAGCAGAAGGAATGCTGACCTTTTATTCATTCACACTTGTGCTTCCGGAGTCAGGATACAGTGCTGACTTAGAAGCTTTGAACATTTCACAGTGTTTTACTCCTTGATGATGTATCTGCTTCATTATCTGGAGGAGTTATATGCTTCTTCAGTACAAGAAAGTTCATTTAACTTGTGAATGAGAACTCTTGAGTTGGTGATGGCCTGAATGCTTAGAATTCTGCTAGTATCTTTTTTTCAGACAACAATTCTTTAAGGCTCAAATGCAGACTTACTGTGTTATCTGGGGTTTTTTGGTGGTTAAGACTATCATGTCAGGTGGTTGGATTTTTGTTTGAATCCCTTGTCTCGGCAAAAAATGATGACGTGCTGAAGAAGCTTGGATGCTTGGTATCCTATGATGGAAAGTCTTTTGAAACCTCCAGTGGTTTTTGCTATTTATTTATGTCCTCGTTGCAAAAAACAAAAACCCAAACCCGATATTTCTATGCTGACAAAAAAGGAAGGTGGTAATAATAGTAAATAGTCTGGGGTTTTACCTCTCTGGTTGAAAGTATGGGAAGAGAGGAAACCAGAGTAATTTGTTGAGTGGAACAAAAAGCAGTTGGGAAAGTCCATTGTAGCTTTGACTGAGATGCTTAAATGAACCCATTTACTAGATTATGTTCTCCTTGGGTCCTTCATTCTTAATTCAAAATACAGTCCATGTGGAGTTTGTAGACTCATGGAGTTTGCTTCACTTGTAGTGGGCCAAAATGAATTGTCAGTGTTCAGAAATTGAGAGCTGGCTAGAAACCAGGATTTGTGACTTGGGAGTTGGAATCTTAGGAAAGAGCAGTTGTTTAAATGCACCTTAGACCTGTCCCATGGGCTACCCTATCTTTCCAGCAGTGTCTCTTGTCTCTTTTGTACCTGGCCTACTTTATATTTCCTGGACTACCAGATAAAAACACAAGATAGTTGGGATGGCCAGTATTCTCTGCAATCAAATTTTGTGTGTATTTTGAGGTCTTTTCCAACACTGTATTTGCCCGGTGGTAAATGAACAGAAGGAAGGAAGCTTTTATCAGAAATGTCAGAGCTAGAGTCCCAGTTGTGATAAAATGAAGTATCCCTGACCTTGAAGCTTTATCTCTGTTTGCAGAGATCTCATAAATGGACATGTGGAAATTGAGCCAAACAAGCAGATATTTCCTAGGAGTCATCAAGAATCCATTTGGAAGAAGTATTGGGTTGAGATGTCAGGGACTGTTTAGTATACTGTATTTTATTAATACCTGAAGCTTTTCTTTGTATAATAACTATTTATTATTCGAAGCTTCTTTCTTAGAGGAGAGCCATTGTTCTAGGGCTGACTGGTTTTTGCAGTTTAAAATTTTTAGTTGCAGTGCTCACTGGGAAAGGAGAGTAACGATCGCTTCTAAGAAAGGGAAGAGAAATAATCCATTTTTTGTATATGAATATATTTAAACTTTATAGAACTGATTGAACCAGACTTTCTAGTTTCAGAAGTTAAACCTTGGTGTTGAACTTCAAATTTTGAAGCAAAGAATCCAAAAGGAAATTCAGAGGGAATTTGCTCTGTCATCCTCTTAATGCCAGTCTTCACTTGGTTCATTAATCAGTGTTGTGACGCTTCAGCACTAGATTACTAGTTGGGTGAGAGGGGGATGAGCTGCTTATTCCACATACACTGTCATGCTGTGTTTGTGTCAGATCTTCAGATTGACCATCATTGTCTGCTTTCAGAATTAGGAAATTTGTCATGTTTTAAATTTAATAGGAAAGCCATTTTAACCACATACCCCCAACGGTCTAGTTCTTCCAAAATTCTTCTTAAACTGGGAAAAGGAAATTGAGTATTCTTTTCCTCTGAATTTCCAGATCACAAAATCTGTTACTTTTGCTTCCAGGGCAGTGTTCACACTTTTGTCCTTACGTGTCACCACAGTGGGATTCTCCTAATTGAGGCCTTTGTTTTTATAATAAATCACATCTTGTGTCTAGATTTCTCATCTCTTTGAAACAATCCCTGACTATAAATTGTTTTCTCGAGCTGATTTTTCTTATCCTTCTACTTAGGAACCCTATACCGCATGCCTGTTCTCTTGTGTCTTCTCTTTTTCTTAGTTTCCAACTTCTTTCAGTTCTGTGTACTATCTGGTAATGCTTCTTTGTAGTTGGGGCATTTATGTGAGAAGTTCAAGATCTCATTCAGTCTACTTCCAAGCCACTTTAGTTGAAATTGGTTAAGTGTATTTTTCGTGTAGACCTAAAATCATGTGGTTGCTTTGTTCAGAAATACAGGAATATTTTGGACCTACCCATTCATTTAAAGAGCAGGTTTCCCCACAATTTCAAATAAACTTCAGAGATATCTAAACTGACTTTGTTATAAATGATCTTGTATAGAATGCTTTTTAATTCCTAGCTTCCATTTTTGGAAGGATACTTTTTAACACTACAGTGAAATTGAGACTAATAGCCAAAAAATGTATTTCAGCTGAGATCTGTATCTGTGGACCTGAATGTTGATCCCTCGCTTCAGATTGACATACCCGATGCACTCAGTGAGAGAGATAAGGTCAAATTTACAGTGCACACCAAGGTAAGTGACAGAATGACTTCAGTAATCAAAGCAGTGCTATGTTGTAGCTTTGTGATTCACAGTGGGCAAGAAATGTCCTGAACCGAAATGGTTGCTGTTTGTTTGCAGTGTAGCACTACTGCTGAGAACATCCCTCATCTTGCTTGTAGTGAGCATCAGATAAGTGCTCTTTTGCTTCAGCATTTTCCACTGTGGTGGAGCCTTAGGGTGTGGGTATTGCTGATGTTTGTGTGGCTTATACTCTGCTCTATGAGGAAGCAAACCAGGCATAGTGATGTGTGGAGCCACCACCTACACAGCTCAGATCTTCCACCTTTGTTTTTATTTGCATGAGTGAGAAGTGCTTGCTTTTTCCCATATTTAGTAAGTTATTGGCCTTAGCCCCTCCTGTTTCTTGTAATCAAAACACTTTTTTCCTTATACAATTTTTTTTTAAGATTTTATTTATTTATTTGAGAGAGAGAATGAGATAGAGCATGAGAAGGGGGAGGGTCCGAGGGAGAAGCAGCCTCACTGCTGAGCAGGGAGCCTGATGTGGGACTTGAACCCGGGACTCCAGGATCATGACCTGAGCCGAAGGCAGACACTTAACGACTGAGCCACCCAGGTGCCCTAAAAGATTTGTATTTTAGAGATTTTAGAGAAAGAGCATGAGCAGGGAGAGGAGCAGAGAGAGAGAGAGAATCTTTAGCATACTCCCCGCTGAGCCTGGAGCCTGATGCAGAGCTCCATCTCCAACCCTGAGAACATGATCTGAGCCAAAAATCGAGTCAGTCTGACCCACCCAGATGCCTCATGTACAAGTTTTTTTTTTTTTAAGATTTTATTTATTTATTTGAGAGAGAGAATGAGATAGAGCATGAGAAGGGGGAGGGTCCGAGGGAGAAGCAGCCTCACTGCTGAGCAGGGAGCCTGATGTGGGACTTGAACCCGGGACTCCAGGATCATGACCTGAGCCGAAGGCAGTCGCCCAACCAGTTGAGTCACCCAGGTGCCCACATGTACAAATTTTTAATTGGACAAAGGCAGTAATGCCAATCTGAAAAATGTGGAGAGTAAATGTAATGTTTCAGAATCCATCCTTTCAGGAACATTTTCAGTATACTTTCTCCTTCCATACTAGTTAAAGTGTATTGAATGCTTGTCTTACACCAGGCATTGTAAAGAGTTTACATGGATTTAATTTTCTCTTTTTAATAACCTTATAGTATCGTATTATCCCCTTATACGGGTGAGGAAACTGAGCCACAGGTTTAAGTAAAATAAATGGCTGAGGCACAATTTGAATTGAGCAGTTTGATTCTGTACAAAGCTTTTGGGTTACATGCCATCTCCTGCATACAGACACGCTATCTGTACAGTCCTCCCCCATGTGGTTTTCTTTTAATACCTTGGTGGCTTGATTAGCGTACCTTGCTCAGGAGACAATGTGACGACTATGTGATTATATCTGCCTGAGTTGACCTGAGAGGTGGAGTTTTGTGAAAAGAATTCCTTAAAGAACATGTTGAATCTTCAGCAATGACTTTTATAGTGAGGAGATCAGGTGTTGCTGCTTTTGTTCTTGACTAGGTCTCACTGAGCTGTTTTGTTACACAGAATTTTCCCATAGCACAGCCCAGGAAACCCCAACTGCTTTATCAGAAAGTGGTGGTTACCAGTTAACTTTTTACTCTGTTCTTCACAGACCACGCTGCCCACGTTTCAGAGCCCAGAGTTTTCTGTTACAAGGCAACATGAAGACTTTGTGTGGCTACATGACACTCTTATTGAAACTGCAGACTATGCTGGGCTTATCGTAAGTGCATTTTGGAAAATCAAATAATCACTGAAGCCAGTTTCTTCTACCTTCTTACTCATTTTGTTTAAAGAGACTTTTACCCATTTTTTATAATGGATTGTGAAAACTGTCTGATTTCATCTACCAACTAGACAATGTACTATTGGTAAGGCTAAACTACATGAGAATCGTATTGTAGCTGTGAGGTGAAGCATACATACACTCTTAAGACCTGTATGATGGACTAAATGGTTTCATGGTTTGAATCTTCTCTACCTTTGGGTTTGGTATTTCTCTGGTACTTCCAGGCATCAAGTAGAATTGATTTCTAGGAAAACCTCAGAATGGTAATGGTGTACAGTAAATTTCTTAAAAGTGTTGTCCTCCACTCAAGGAGTAGAGGAAGCAGTTGTCTTTGTGCTAATAAAAGTAGTGTTGAAACTTGTGTTTGAGAATATTCTGTTCGCTCAAAATTAGAATTTTCTCATCCTTTGGAATTAAAAATTGCCTTTGATGTCTAGAGACTAATTTTGATGGTGCTTCATAGACTTCATTTTAGCACTGATTGTCATATATACATTTTAAACTGACATTGAAGCAGGCTAAACACTATTATCCCCTACAGATCATCCGTAATGGATAACCTGAACAAATGATTACAGTCTGAGTGCCCAGTTGTGGGGAGGAGACTTCTTTTATATGGCCAAAAGGAATAAGGTTAAGAGAAAAACAGTGGTTGACCTGTTAGCCCCACTGGGGTGGCTGCCTCCTTGTGCATAGGCACTGAGTAGAACATCACTGCCGGGACAAGGATGCTTGCGAGTTAACCTGCCTCTCCTACAGATTCCGCCTGCTCCTACAAAGCCTGACTTTGATGGCCCTCGAGAAAAGATGCAGAAATTGGGAGAGGGTGAAGGGTCTATGACCAAAGAAGAATTTGCTAAGATGAAGCAAGAGCTGGAAGCGTAAGTGGGTTTTCTTGACGGGGCTGTATCTTTTGAGAAGAACCAAAGTGGTGATGTTTACAGAAATCAGGAGAATCTGGCAGTTTTCTAAAAGTTTGGCAGCTAATTAGTTGCCTAGTGCGCTGTCCTGTAGAACTGTGTTTTGCGGTTGATTCCCTTGGGCGGGGGTGGGGGGGGACACTGGGTAGATTGATTGTTTTCCCCCATGTGGACTACTTGTTCTAGAATGCTGGTCTGGCATAGTGAAGAAGTAAGCCTTTGTGTCTTTATAGATAAAGAACTCTTCAGGCTGCTGATAGTGTACTAAGTCTTATTCCCTGAAGTTCACTGACTAAAGTATAGCTGAAACTAGACTGCACTGATGCAGTTGCAGAGAAGCACTCTGAATAATAATCACATTGATGGTTTGAAAGAAGTCCTAGGTTCACAGGAAGCATGTTTTAATTTGGTTGTAATTATTTCAAACAAAACTGTATCACAGTTGGGGATTTGCATTAAAGTTACTAAATTATCCTTGCACCTCTAACTTGGCTCCCTCCCCCCCCCTTCCACCATCAGTGTGGTGCCCATCTCAGCAGTTGTCCTCTGCTCTGCCCCATGGCCGTATTCTCAAGAGCCAGTGTTCACACACCTCCAGGTACTAAGTCATTCCACACATGCTGGAGTACCTGTCATGGCCTGTTCTGAGAATAAGATACTGAGCACAACAGACTGAAGTCCTACCATGGAGAAGTTTAGAGTGATCTGTAATACCTAGGTTGAGATAAAGTCACTTTATAATGTGTGATAATTCCAAGCATTATTAGACTTCAGTGCTATGTATGTGGGTGCAGGACTAAGGCGTTTTCTTCATTGTTTGACAGAAACCAGTGTTCTGTGGCTGCTAAATACTAGCAGTAATGCATGTAGGTTTGGGCTTTGTAGACTTGCTCTCTCAACTCCGGTTATATTATTACTTTGCTTTCTTTGGTTTATTCCACAGGTTCCCAAATGGCACATGCCTTATTACTAATTAGATAAAAGGTTATACCAAAATGTTTTGGTCCAGTTCAGGTGTTTTCCCTTAGTGGCATGAGCAGAACAATGGTGATAACCAGGACCAATACTGGTCGTTTAGTCGAGCGGTGCCAGCTGAATGCCTTGTGTGCTTCTCTTCCAGTGAGTATCTTGCGGTCTTTAAGAAGACTGTGTCCTCCCATGAAGTCTTTCTGCAGCGGCTCTCTTCTCACCCTGTTCTCAGTAAAGATCGCAACTTCCATGTGTTCCTGGAATATGATCAGGATGTAAGGCATTTTTGTTCCATTTCCATGATCCAGTGAAAATGCACATGACCGTGTTTTTTTCTATCCCCCCCACTTAGGGAAGGGGGCCGGGGGAAGGGCAGGGGGAGAGCGAGACAGTCCGGAACAGGCTCCATGCCTAGCACAGAGCCCGATGTGGGGCTCGATCCCACAACCCTGATATCATGACCTGAGCTGAAATCAAGAGTTAGATATGGATGCTTAACTGTCTGAGCCACCCAGGAGCCCCCACGTGTGACTATTAAAAAAAAAAAAATACGCTTGAGGGGCACCATGCTGGCTCAGTCAGAAAAGCATGCAGCTGTTGATCTTGGGGTCATGAGTTTGAGCCCCATGTTGGGTGTAGAGATTGCTTTAAAAAAATAAATATACTTGATGGCCTGATACATTTTCTGAAAAATTGACTTTTAAAGTACTGAATTTTTTAATGGCACAATGGAATCCTTTTTTTAGATATTGTTTGCACCTCCCCCATAGATTCATTTCAAGACATTTTTATAAAATGCATAAAGATTACTTTTCTCCCCTTTTAATAAAGGACCAGTTTTTGCCTTCAGTTAATTTTGGGATTGTTTGATTTGAAAGGTTTTATCTGAGAGAGAGAACAAGAGGGTGTGGGGGCAGAGGGAGAGGGAGAAACAGACTCTCCACTGAGCGGGGAGCCTGATGTGCAGGGATCATGACCTGAGCTAGTCAGACACCCAACTGACTGAGCCACTCAGGCACCCCAATTTTGGGATTAAGAGGAATTTCAATTAACATTTGTTTCTGGTTACCTGTTTGTTGGAAGGAGTTGTATGTTTTGCCTTATTTTTAAGATTTTATTTGTTTGAGAGAGTGCGTGCGCACACAAGCTAGGGAAGGAGGGATGGGGAGAAGCAGCCTCCCTGCTGAGCTAGGAGCCCAACATATGGGGCTCCATCCCAGGACCTGGAGATAGTGACCTGAGCTGAAGGCAAATGCTTAACCATCTCTGCCACCCAGGTGCCCTGTTGGCCTTGTTTTCTTTTAATTTTTTTTTTTTTTACTTAATATGTGTGAGGCAAGCCCTGACTTAAGTTACTCAGTATCGTCTAACCAGTGAAGTTCAGTGAACAACTTAGAACAGTATAGTAATTCAGCCAAGGATTTAAAGGCCACTAACACATGCCTGGCTAGCTCAATTGGAAGAGCATGCAACTCTTGATCTTGGGTCCGTGAGTTTAGGCCCCATGTTGAGTGTAGAGCCTACTTAAAAATAAAGTATAAAATAAAAGCCACTGAGACTTAGTGCCAGGTATTATTTCCAAAATATCTTTAGGTCACGCTTTTGTTTTATTTAAGATTTTATTTATTTGACAGACCACGAGAGAGGGAACACAAGCAGGGGGAGAGGGAGAAGCAGGCTTCCCAAGGAGCAGGCAGATGCTTAACGACTGAGCCACCCAGGCGCCCCTAGGTCACGCTTTTAGAACTATGACCTGTGTTTAGGTTTTGCTGTTTATTCCTATTTAGACTTGGTGGCTAAGATGGAATTAAAAGGTATCTTATGTGTGTTCCTATGCTAGTACACAGTATCACTTGGAAGATACTTAGAGCTTAAAGTACTTAGAGAAATAATGTATACCATAAACTATTTTTTCATAATTTTCTTTTTTTTTTCCAGCTAAGTGTTAGGCGGAAAAATACCAAAGAGATGTTTGGTGGCTTTTTCAAAAGTGTGGTGAAAAGTGCTGATGAGGTCCTTTTTTCTGGAGTTAAGGTAAGGGCTTTTAGCTGTTAGTAGAAAACTCTTCATGTGACATTTTATTTCTGCTGCTGCATTTATTTCTTCACAAGAGATATTTGTAAAACAAATGGTATTAACCACAGAAATGTAAATAATTTTTTAAATTTTGGTTATTCTTATCTACTCACTGAATTCACTTATATTCCTAAAATATCCTGTTCTCTTAAGTGAGGGGTTAAGAACAGTCTCACACTTAGTTCTTCATTTTCTCCTTTTCTGTACAGAGAGCGGTTACTCAGTTTATTTTTTAAAAAGAAAATAAGCTAGCTACAAGATTAGTATTTCATGCCATTCTCCAGGACTACTGTCCATTTTGGTAGTCCCAGCCACACCAGATTTTTAATTTTATTTGCGTGTCCACATTATAAGGATCTGATGTGAAGAATGTAAAATACTAAAAGTAGTTTCATCTGTGTTTTGTTTTTGTTTTATAATGTGGCTACTAGAAAATTTTTAAATAGCACATGTGGTTCATATATTTCTGTTGGACAGAGCTGTTTTAAAAGACTAACAAACAGGTCTCTCATTACCCTCATGGGTGATGTTTATCTCTCACTTCTCAGCCCCTTCCATTTTTTAACTGAGTTACCATCTTGTATTTAGCTTTGCCACTTGTTGAGGACTTGAGCAAGGGGCCCAGAGTATAGGTGCTGAGTAGTGGGCATTGTCAGGAATTTGGAAACTCTAGGAATTTCTCTTTGGTGCATTTTAAGGTGTATGGGGCTGTCCTGTACCCACATACCACAGGATGTTTGGCATCCCTGACTGGTGCCCACCAAGTATACCCCCCCATACAAACATGTGGGTATCCACTGCTGAGTTGCAACCTGCCAGCCAGAACCACTTCTCTGCCAGCGTTGCTGGATGTTAGGATACCAGAGTTTTCCTGGGCATTGTTGAATGGCTCTTTGTTTTCTCTGTTGACATTTCCTGCCAGCGCTTGAGGTTTGCTAATCTTGGGTATGAAATGCTGTCTTGTCAGTTTGGCTTTCCTTGTCCATAGAAGTTAAAGTTTTTAATGCATGAGCTTATTTCCTTAATGTTTCTTTTAATGCATAATACATTCGTATTTTTAAGAGTTTTGCTTCTTAAGTTTCTTTTTTCCCCTTTTAGGAGGTAGATGACTTCTTTGAGCAAGAGAAGAATTTCCTCATTAACTATTACAATAGGATCAAGGATTCATGTGCAAAAGCTGACAAAATGACCCGATCTCATAAAAGTAAATACCATTCGCCCACTAGCCACGTAGCTTTGCTAATGTGCTAGCTCTGTTCATATAAAAAGGGCTGTCGTTGTTTCTGCAGATGTTGCAGATGATTATATCCACACTGCAGCCTCTCTGCATAGCCTGGCTTTAGAAGAGCCCACGGTCATCAAAAAGTAAGTTTTTGTTGGAAAAGCATTTTCCCTGCTCCCCTAATTGAAAAGTCCTGAGTGGTATAATGAGGAACGACTGTATAGTTTCACTTCTGCTTTTGAGTACCAGCTCATCAAGAGTAGAGGATAGTATAGTTTCTAGCACTCAAATCTTTATATACCGTCTGAACATAGACACAGTTTAAGATGTTCGTAGGGTACTCAGAGGGCACTTCTATACCAAACATGGTAGCTGTTGTCAAAGAACTTATTTTTGTCAAACTGTCTCCTTTTTTTGATTTAATTCTGGAGTTGTCTCTGAATGACGTTTGCCTTCTATGTTCTCTGGCAAGTGATGTTTCGCCTGGTAAAGCCCTGGACTTAAGAAATTTGTTTTGGTTAAGGTGGTCTTAAGGGTAATGCAATGACCTCAGTCTGGTTTGAGCTTTTTTATATGAATTCACAGTTCCTCCATCCTGGGTATTTCTGGTGTGAGACTGCACTCTACTTAACACTTAGGGCTTGGTATAACAGCTGGTGGTGGTATGATTTGAAGATGGACGTCAGGCTAATGTCAAAATGAAACAGTAGCTTTTTAAAAATTTTATTTTTTTTTTTATTTAAATAGCACATTTATGGTTTTGGGACACCCATGGTAGCAGCTCATTAGAACCTGCCCTTAGTTAACACAGCGTTGACGTTCGTTAAAGACTATCTAGGGACACAGTATCGGCATGGCAAGGTGGCTGAGGGGCACTGAGAGAGGTTGATAGCCCCGAGTGTGGCACTGTAGATGTGCTCAGTTCTGTAACCATCTTCTCTACTAGATTGGGCCAGTTGGTGATGAAAGTACTACTTTGATAAATTAATTCTAAAGCACCAAATGCTCAGATTCCTGCATTTACTCATTCATGTCTTACTGAGAAGGTCCTGTTTCATACATGATTTTAAGACCTTAAGCCAAAATCATGTGTATCTTTTCAGGTACCTATTGAAGGTTGCTGAGCTATTTGAAAAACTTAGGGTAAGGATTTTTATGTTGGTCTTCATTATATATTTTATAATCTGTAGATTTTTGCTTAGATGATGGTGACCTTTACTTTTTTTAATAGAAAGTAGAAAGTCGAGTCTCCTCAGATGAAGACTTAAAGCTGACAGAGCTTCTCCGATACTACATGCTCAACATAGAGGCTGCTAAGGTAAGGCAGCAGGTGTTTAACTCATCAGAACAATACAAGACCACCTTGCCATGACCCAGAAGAGGTCTCCTGTTAGAGATGTATTATTTTGTTGTTGTTGTTTGTGTTGTTGAAAATGAAAGAAGGTTAGGAATTTGTCAGGATTGTTTGTGTAAGTAATACTAAATAAAGAGATAAACTGAGACAGGTTTGACCAGAAATTGAGTTGATTTGGGAATAGCAGAATTGCAGTTCAGGAAACACACGCTGTAGCAAGCTACAGGCAAGTGCATTAAGGGTTTGGGCTGGGCTTGTATTTAATAGGAGTGTGAAGAGAGGGACATCCAAGCAGTTAAATTCATTGACTTGAGGATGTTTGTGCCAAGAAGTGAGTTGATCAGACAGGAGATAAGTATTTTCTGGGTCTTCTGTAAATTGGGCATTTGCAATCAGTCCCTTAGTTCTTAGGTTCCATTCATTTGAGGGCATGTGTGTGAGATTCTCCAATTCATAGCCTCTGGTTCCATTTTAAATTGAAATCTTTTTACAAGTAACATACCTTTTTCTGGCATTGTGTCCTTAGTTTGTATCAGGAACAGTAGGAGTGGTGCTGAGTGGACAGAGAGTAATTTGGGGGATTATAGGTTATTGGATGTGGGTATAACTGAACACATTCCAAAAGGGCTCTAAGGGAGAAGAGGTTTTTGGGTTTTGTGAGTTTTTTATTGAATTGCAGTTTTTGAGTCTATAAACCATTACTCAACCAAAACCAAGACTAAATGGTAAGCAGAATGGCCTTTGGGAATGAAACATGCTTTCACTGGGCATAACACTGCCCTGAAATGTCATTAGGAAGTAGAAATTCATGATTTTCCTCATAGTTTCATTTTTAGTTAACTTTTCTTTTGGCATGTTTCCTTAGTTTTATATTTGGATATATTTTATATACTTCAGACTGTATTTCTTATTTAGTATTTTAATGGACTTGAGAGCTGATTATAAACCCAAGTTTTTTGAGTACACACAAAATCATGTATGTTGAGCCTCCCATATCTATTCTGTTTTAAATATGGAGGTAACTTGTACATTGCTGGAGATTGCAAATAATCTTTATTTCGGATGTGAGAGCCTCTGTCGGACTTGAGGCAGGGCTTGTGGTGGGGTGAGGTTAGAAGAATGTTCTTCCTGCTGCCTCGCTTGTGTTCTAGTAGCGTCACTTGACGCATCCAGCAGTGCCTGCTGTTTTGGTAGAAGGTGGTTAATTTTCTGAAACTGCTTCCCATGAGTGAATTATGGAAATACCCTTTAGTTTTCACTGTTGGGTGTTTTTTTTGTTTTTGTTTTGTTTTGGGTTTTTTGGATTTTTTTTTGATCCATATAAAGAATTTCAAAAAGCTCTCAACAGTGCTGCAAGAATTGCTGTTCCTAGGATAATCTTGAAATAAAAAACATAATGGAAGGGGGGGAGGTAGAAGTGGACTAGGTTGTTGCCTTCTGACATTTCAGAGAGTGCATTGGCACCGTGATACTTGGGCCTTTTTTTTTTTTTTTTTTAAATTTTAGAAATTTTAGAGTAGTTTAGATACTTCTCCTGTTTAGTTCTCTAGCCATTTTTCAGGATAACTTTAACTACCATTTCCTATCTGTTAATTTTTTTCTCAGGATCTCTTATACAGACGCACCAAAGCCCTCACTGACTATGAGAACTCAAACAAAGCCTTGGATAAGGCCCGCTTGAAAAGCAAAGATGTTAAGTTGGCTGAGGCAAACCAGCAGGAATGCTGCCAGAAATTTGAACAGCTTTCTGAATCCGCAAAAGAAGGTTGAGCAGGGCTATTCTTTACTTTTTGCTTTTTATTTGGAAATAATTTCAAGCTTATAGAAAAAAAAGTTGCACAGATAATGCAGAGAACACCTGTGCATTGTTTACTTGGAGTCCCCTAGCTGTCCAGTTTGCCTCTTCTGCTTTGTCACTTGCACACACACGTAGTGGCACGTGTATGTTTATAAATGCACACAGGGTGGAATTTTCTTTTCCTTTTTCAACCATTTGAGATTAAGTTGTATCTAATGTCCTTTTATCCCTAAAAAAACTTGGTTGTGTATTTCTCTTACATCCCTATAGTATTTTTACTGACTTTGGTAAACTGATGCAATACATTCCAACCTGTTGTCTATATTCTCATTTTGTTGTTTGTCCCAATAACGTCCTCCTCTCTAGGGTTGCCATTAGGTTACCATAGCTCTTATGTCTCCTTTAATTTGGAAGGAACCCTTCTCAGGGACCCCTGCCCCTGCCTTTTTTTAAAAATGACATTTGCAGGGATGCCTGGGTGGCTCAAGTCAGTTAAACGTCTCCCTTCAGCTCAGGTCATGATCCTAGGGTCCTGGGATCAAGTCCCCCATCAGGCTCCTTGCTCAGGGGGGAGCCTGCTTCTCCCTCTGCCTGCCACTCTCCCTGCTTGTGCTCTCTCCCTCTCTCTGAAAAGTTAATAAATAAAATCTTAAAAAATATATATATATATTAAAATAAAATGACATTTGCCTTTTTGGGGACCACAGTCTCTACAAATAGTGTTCTTCATTTTTGGAATGTCTATTCCCTTATGAATAGGTTCTGGTTATGCATTTCCAGCAGAATACTATCTGAGTAATGTGTCTTTCAGGTGTCGCATCTGAGGGCACCTTATGTCCCATTTTCCCCTCATTTGTGGTGTTAATTTTGATTACCCAATCAAGGTGTTGCCCAATTTCTCCACTGTATAGTTAATCCCCCCCCGCCCCCCCCGCAGCCACTAATCAGCAGTGTGTGGGGAGACAGTTTTAGACCTTGCAGATAGCCTGCTCTTCATCATACTTTCTCCCTAAATTTAGTCTGTGTTGATTCTTGTCTGGGCCAGCCTTTACTGTGATGGTGGCAGAAAAGGCAATTCCCCTCCCCCAGTTCTAGCATTCTCTTTCCAAGCCCTTGGCATCATCATCCTTCAAACACAAGCCTTCCCTTCTTTCCCACATTTCCTTCCTTGTCATTATTAGAGTCATGGGTTTTTGTTTCTGTTTTTTAAGATCTTATTTGACAGAGAGTGTGTGAGTGAGCACAAGCAGGGGGAGCAACAGAGGGAGAGGGAGAAGCAGGCTCGCCACTGAGCAGGAAGGATCATGACCTGAGCCGAAGGCAGACACTTAACCAACTGAGCCACCCAGGCGCCCCTGGGTTTCTATTTACAGAATTGTGACAAGATTTGGGTACTAAGTGCTCATTCCTCCTGGGGTATGTTTGCTTCTAGGCCCTTCAGGAGACAGAGCCAGGAAATGGAGGGGTGTGTAACTCTCTTCAGAAATCATGAGTCCATGGTGGTGATTCAGTTCCAATCTACAGCCTTGGGGTTCTTTCTTGCCTACCCAATTCCAGAGTAGGGGGGAATATGGCTTACCTTAATTCAGGAGATAGAGTTCCATTTCCACAGAATAAGAGTGTAAATTGTAGTCTTCGCCTTAGGGGGGTCTCACTACCTGGCAGTTCTCAGGGGACATGGAACACTCCAAAAAGTAAAGAATGTATTTCCCTGAATGTGAATGTAATTATACTGATAGTCTGTACTGAATTCACCCCCAAACTTGAGTTTCTGTGAGAAATCCCTATCTCGTTTTAAGACTTTGTTTTCTCAGAACCTTTTCCCCCTCCCCTATGGTTCCGGAATCTAAGCATTATTTGAAAACGTTCTGATAATAGCAGTGAGCCTTTGTGTTGGCGCATTGTTTTCAGTACTATAATTCCTTAGCTGTAAGAGACAGAGCTTCTCTGTACAAAAATCTTGAAAGGGGCATGCACATATCCTCGCTTGGCTGTCTTTTGGGATTCTTTCAAAGAATCTCCTTGCTGCCACGGTAAAATAAATTTTTGTGCTTTAATTAGCTAATTTAAATTTATGAGGAAAAGAACAAACTTCAAAACTCCTGAGTTGAAATCTTAGGTTATTACATAGGCCAGACTTTACTAGCCCTGACAACTTCTGAGGGGATTAAAGAAAAACCACAAAGCTTTAAAATCGTGCCAATTTAGGCCTGTCCTTACCTAAGGTTTGTTCCTGTGTTAGATTTTTATCCTTTTTATTCAAAATAAGCCTGGTTATGCTATATTTAAAAATACAGCGTTGTGTAGAATACTGCACTGAATGGGAGCATAGTACAAAAGGTGGGGGTGTGGACAGGCATCACGGGAGATGAGACAGGTTAGCGTTGAGTCCTGGTCCTGGGTGCAGGCCTAGAGGAAAGGCAAGTTTATCCTGACCTCTGGGAAAGACCTATTTAGTATATCAGAGGTAATGTCATTAACCCTCATGATAAGATTTGTTTCGTAAGTTTTCACTTTTAATGTTGGCTGCCTCATCTTTCTTTTGGTCGGTGCTGTATAGACCTGGTACAGGAGGGTAAGTTTGCTCCTGAGGACTAGAGCGCCAGCTTGAGCTGGGGAGGGTTTTGACCAACAGAATGATGACCAGAACTACACATTTATGAAAGGAATCCAAGGGAGGAAGTACTTATTTTTGGTTTACCCTAATTTCTAATGGGGCATTAATCCTGAATAGTGTTTGGTGATAGGAAATAATAGATGTAAAGGTGGCATGTTGTATAGATCATATCTACAGAGAAGCAGTCTGAACATAAGCAGTAGTTTCACCACAAATTTAAAAATAATCATTAAAGAAATAGCCATTGGTGTGGGTATGTATATGTGGCTCACTACCTCCCCAGCCTTCTTTCCACAAGTACTGGTAGCTAGAAGTTCAGGGCAAGACTGCTCATTTCATTGATTATCCAAGTAGTCCGTCGCATTCTCTGAATTTTGATGCCCAGTAATTGGGTGCAGTGCTAGTGCTCATTTTAAAGGCAATGGCAGGGGCGCCTGGCGGCTCAGTAGGTCAAGCATGGGACTCTTGATCTCAGGGTTGCTAAGTTCGAGCCCCATGTTGGGTGTAGAGATTACTTAAAAATAAAGTCTTAAAAAACAGGTGGGCACCTGGGTAGCTCAGTTGGTTAAGTGTCTGCCTTCGGCTCAGGTCTTGATCCCAGGTTCCGGGGATCTAGCCCTGCATCAGGCTCCCTGCTCAGCAGAGGAGTCTGCTTCTCCCTCTCTCACTCCCTCCCCATTCATGTTCTCTCTCTCTCTCTCTCTCTGAAATAAATAAAATCTTTAAATAAAGGCAATGGCTGGCATATCACTACATTGTCCATAAAATGTCAGGTATATGTCCCAATTGCAGAAATAGTAAGAATATGAGAAAATGTGTGTTTCAAAGCTTTAGAGATTATATTATATGTAAGAATGATATTTAGAAGTTAAAGATGGAAATTGTTCAGCTTTTGTTGGTATACATTCTTTTATAGAACTAATCAATTTCAAACGAAAGAGAGTGGCAGCATTTAGAAAGAATCTAATTGAAATGTCTGAACTGGAAATAAAGCATGCCAGGGTAAGTGTTTTCCTTCAAATTAAGCCAGAAGCTTTTTAGGGTTCCCCCCCTCAGGTTATTTCCCAGTTCACTATCTCTGTATCATTGGGCAGATGAGGTTTGCTTTGTGGTATTAATCTCCTGTGCGATTAATCTCCTGTGATGTAGGTGGGAGTCACTTGTTGGATTTTTTCTGCTGCAAACCAAAATCCTACATCATGATGAAATACTGCTTTGGAGAAGAGCATATTAGTATCTTAATATTAATTTCTTTTTTTGTTTAGAAAGGAAGAACTTCCTTGTATATTTAATGTCTAGCTTAATTTGGTACAGAAAAGATGGAGAAAAATGGTTCTCAATTTTGGGTACACATTAGAATCTCCTTAAGGAGCTTTTAAAGACTTTTTGGTGCCCAGAGCAATTGGCTCAGTTTCTAGGCATGGCTCCTCCGGTGGTTCCTAGGTACATCTGCGTGTGATTCCCAGAAGTGCTGTCTGGCCCATCAGCATTGGTTAAGCAGGAAGACTTTGAACATATGTGTGTATTTTGAATTTCTTTATTTTGACTACAACATTTATTTACTTTTTGATTAAGTCCAGGTCCTGTTGTGTATGACCTTTTAAATTGGGGTTTTAGAGTGTCCTGTATATGTGAATCATACCCGTAATGTTCTGGGTGTCCTGAGTTTTCTCAGTTCTTCTTTGTAAAGCAGTTTGTGCTAAGTTCTTTACGAATATTTATCATTTGTAATCTCAATTAATTTTTAGCACTTTTTTTATCCAGTCTTTCCAAGGCCTTCAGTTTCAAAGAACAACTCTTATATAGCATTTAGGTTACATCACAGTAAGCAAAATGGGCAGGATTGCATTGAGAGCAGATCTGCAGTGGAGCTGTGAGCCTCTCCAGGTGGCAGTCCCAGACCCTCAGAGGGAGAGGAACTCACCAACATGAAATTGGGGTGTAGGTTGTAGGATGAGGTTCAGTTATCTCTTGTGAAAAGTTTAAGTTCTGGGTTTGAGTGGAATTCTTACAGATATGTAGGTCTGGACTCTATAGAGAGATTCATTGGTCTGCCTTGACTTTTGTCTTTCTTCCAGAACAATGTCTCCCTCCTGCAGAGCTGCATTGATTTGTTCAAGAACAACTGATCTGCCTTTTCTCTGAATGAAGGACACGAATGTGAAAGAAAGCCAGCATCACTTGCACTTAAATCATCACAGAAGATTTATTACCTTTGACTTTAGTTTAAAATTATGTGAATAAATATTTTGATTTCTAAAAATCTTAACACTTAACCATGTTGGTTTAAAAATATTTCTATTGCATGCTAATTGGACATAACAAATCTTTTCCTTATGCATTTAATACCTCAAAGTGGGCAGAATCTACATGCTGAGTTCTCCTGTAATTTGTCTTTAGTTATAAAGAGTGCAGGAAACATGTGCCTTCTGGAACCAAGTACAAGCAATGGCTTGGCACATGTTGTCTCATGGTTTCATGTGCCCATGTCCCTACAAACCAGTAATTTAGAGTAGGTGCCACTGACAACAAATAAGTCAGCTGCTTGTTGCAGGTAACATATACATTCCATTCCTTAATGTGATTCCCCCCTGCCCTTATACTCATGGTTCTTTAGTCACCTTAAGTGACTGTACTATAACAAGAGCGAGAAAATCTCATTTATATACCCTTTGCAGCTCCATTTTTTTGTAGTTGGGATATAAATATTTGAGGGGAGAGAAATATCTTAGGGTATAAGAACAAATAATATGGCCTACTTTAGAAGATGGCCAGTCTAAGATGTGAGCCCCCTTCCTGACTGTAGGGGGAGGTGTGTGTGTGTGTGTGTGTGTGTGTACTTTGTATAATAAAATAATAAATCATGTTACCATATGGAGTGTTTTTGTGGAAAACAAGGCCCAGGTGTGCCCCAAGACTGCAGTTGGTACTAACTCTCTGATGCTGAGGGCTTCAAGGTCTCTCTTCCCACAGTCCTAGCCTCTGTTCTAATCCTAACGTCTTTTGAGACTACTGATACGGCCATTTTTTTTTAGAAGGTCCCCAGATCGGGTTTGTCTGGCTTGATCATGGGTTCAATTCGGGTTTGCATTTTTGACAGGCTTAGCATAAGTGATGCTATGTCCTCAGAAAGGCTGCATCGATCCTGTTGGTGATGACTAGTACCTGCCAGGCATTCCCCTGTGAAGTTTTACATCTTACCCTTTGTAGGTAACTATTGGGAAGATCTTTTGAGACTGTAAGAGATGTTTACCCACCACTTTAATCCTGTTCTTGGATTAGCTATAGCTGGTAAAAGAGTTGCAAAATATTGATGTCTGAACACCACAGGGAGCAGTTCTTCTTGATTAAACTGTCATTGAAGTCTAGCTTCCCCACCCAGCCAGTTAATAAAAGGAGCCAGATACCTAAATTTACTAAACGGGCCAGACACAGCAGCTTGCTTCTCCATGTTACATATTTAGGAAGCATGGTGCTGCACAAAATGAATTTAAACAGTTGAAACTCCAGTCTGGGTTCCTGACCCTATTTCTCTCCTGCTTACGTGACAGCCCCATACTATACTGTTCATGGTAGCACAAATGTTAGGTGTGGTTGGGGTGGGTCACAACTGGTCTAAGGTGCTCCAGCTGCTGGCCCCCCATGCTTTAACGCTCAACCGGGGCCTTGTTGCACTTTGGACTAGGTCTGGCGGGGTGTCAGATAAGCAGCCAGGATGCTGGGGTCCTGAGTCCTGGCCCTGCATGCTGAGAGAAGCAATTCTTTAGGTACTCCGCAATTTTCTACCAGTGACTTCCAAGTATTGGGCACATTTCCAGGTGTGCACCTTCTGTACTATCTTGGTTTCAAGAATAATTTAGTCACAACTGGGTCTGAGTCCTTTCCATGAAACCATGGGGTTCTGAGTGGGTGAGGGGTGTTTCCAGTCCTTTCCCAGCGGTGTCTGTCAACGGAATCATCCCTGCCTTTGTGCTGTCCTGTGCTCAGTATTTCTGAGGCACCAGGTGGACCCGCAGAGAGGTAGCCAACATCCTAGGACCTGAAGGCGTGGCAGTGTCTCAGCCACCGGTGCGTCTCCCATGTGGTGCAGAGCAAAGAATGTTTCTGTGTGGGCCTCTGCAGGGGGAAAGTCAAGTGGCAAACTAGCTGCTGAGGAGCCTTCTGAGTGTGAAAGGGGCCACTAGGTGACCTGGGGTCGCTTCAGAATGCTGTGGGGGGGTGTCAGTAAAGCTTCAGTGAGATTGCCTGCTGGCCATCCCTAGGGGTGTTGCAGGGCGTAGCCTGCACAGCCACGGTTCTGCGGTGACAGACAAGGGAAGACCACCCTGGTCACTTAGCACAAGCTGTGGGACAGCTACCTCCCCACATGACCCACCCCATTTTTTTGGGTGTCAGTATTTGCCTTGCCCACCTTTTGGGGTTGCAAGTTTCATTTGAGAGAAGGCCTAGACCCATCCCTGTAAGGATTTTCTCTTGGAAGCCCTTCCCTACCGACGGGGAAGTAAGCGCCTTGCACCATCAGCCTTCTGCCGGTAGGCGGCAGAGGCTCCCAGGGCGGCCACACGCCCTCTTGTGGGGCCTCTTCTCTGGGTGCAACTGAGGGGGAGGAAAGCCTGGTGGTTCTGCACAGTTGCTCAAAGGATCATTTTTTTAAATTAATCTTTTAAAAAGATTTTATTTATTTGAGAGAGCACGGGCAGGGAGAGAGGGAGAAGCAGGCTCCCCCTGAGCTGGGAGCCCGACGGCGTTTGATCCCAGGACCCTGGGACCATGACCTGAGCCGAAGGCAAACGCTCAACTGACTGAGCCACCCAGGAGCCCTTTAATTTTTTTTTTTTTTTAAGATTTTATTTACTTATTTGACAGAACAAGCAGGGGGAGTGGCAGGGAGAGGGAGAGGCAGACTCCCCGCTGAGCAGACGCTTAACCGACTGAGCCCCCCCAGGCGCCCCTCAAAGGATCATCTTGAGGCAGGAAGAGAAATGTCTGGGGGGGGCGGGGGGCGGCACCTGGGTGGCTCATATGGTTAAGCGTCTGCCTTCAGCTTGGGTTATGATCCCAGGGTGTGGGATCGAGCCCCACATCGGGCTCCCTGCTAGGTGGGGAGCCTGCTTCTCTCTCTGCCTCTGCCTCTCTCTCTCTCTCTCTGACTCTCATGAATAAATAAATAAAACATTTAAAAAAAAATGTTTCGGGACCCGAGATTTCCAGTGACTCCAGATGGTGTGTTCCCAGACCGGCATTCCTTTCCAGGATTCACGTGGGCCCCTGATCCCTTGTGACCCACGACAACATCTTGCTGAGGCTGCTCCTTCTGGAGATTCACCTCTGGGACTGGTGTCAAACAGCCATGAGGTAATGTGACCTCGCTGGAAGGAAGGCCAGGAGAACCGTTCCCCATCCTGTCGTCTGAACACATGGCTCCCCTTGCCTGGGTGGGCAGAGCAGATTCCTTATCAGAGATTTGTTTGGTCGCCATCCAAAGGCATTTACTTTTTGATTTTAATCTGTTTCTGACTATAAAAGCAATACATACTTAGAAGCAACCCAAACAATACAAATACGTATAAACTAGAAAGTAAAAGTCCTCTAGTTTATGAATCCCATAAAAGTCCATTATTAGGGGCGCCTGGCTGGCTCAGTTGGAAGAGTGTGCTACTCGGGGTTGTGAGTTTAAGGCCCACGTTGGGTATAGAGGTTACTAAAAACTAAAAACTTTTTTTAAAAGTCAGTTATTAAATAGGTTTCTGATTTTTTTCCCCCTAGCCATATATGTAGTGTGGTTTACGGAAAGCAATTTAGGGATGCCAGGGTTGGGGTGGTTTTTGGAGGTTCCTAGTTGTTGGGTATCTCCCTGGAATGGTCTCCATGGCCCTGAACATCTCTTTGGCATCTTGTCTTTACACTGCCCATCCCCCTGCCCCCAGCCCTCTGTCAGCAGACATCCCCCTCCTGCAAAGACTTCATTACTGAGACTGTGAATGAAGTCTGTGGTCATTTTAGGAGGGTTTTAATTTTAACTGGGTCTTATTTTTATGCTTTACAAAACTTTAAAGCTTGTTAAACTGTGGGACCTGTTAATATTCAAAACACTCAGGAAAAGGAGACCCATAGTCCCAGCCCACAGCCATTTTTGTTTCTGACCGTTGCCTTCCAGCCCTTGCATTAATTCATGGGGTGTGCCCTCAGCCACGGGGGTGGAGGTGGGGGTGGGGGGATTTTTAGCCTCTGTCAGAGGGGAGGGATCTGGGCACTGGGGGCGTGGTGGGAGGCTGGTGGGCTGCTTGTGTTTCAGGAACCGTCTGTGACTGGTCTTATTTTTTTAGCTGCCACGTGGATCTCTCCGGTCACTTTAGAGTTGTTTGCAGATGGAATGGAGATGGCTTGTCCTTTCTTTGCCATGTCCCCTCCACACCGCAAAGCCACAGAAGGAACTTTTCATGCCCTGGATGATGAACCCAAGACGAGGCAAGATTCCAGAGTAGCAAATATAAAGGGCTGCCAGTGAGTCCTGATTCCGGCCCGATACACACGGTCATTCTGACATAGCTGGTGGAAGCTGCGACTCCCCATAGCCCCGTCCTGCCAGCGCAAGGAGCAAACCCCTTTCTGCAAAGGGGTTTGCTCAGTGTGGAAGCTTCCAGCCAGAGGCAGCCTTCGGGATTGCAGCTGGCTCCCTCGGAGCAGCTGCTGGTATCACACGAGCCCCTAATTTGGTCCTGCTGGGAGGCAGGTGGCTGAGCCCGTGTTCAGGGGCAGAAAAAGGGGCAGCAGGAGGAGGAAGAATACAGGGAAAGGATCCTCAGGGGGGCAGAGGAGAAGGAGCCAGGGAGCGTGTGCAGATAGGCAATGGATAAAGCCCCATTCCTTCCTTCGGTGAAGCTGATCTTGGCCTGCTCAGCGAACGCCCCAGAAGACAGGAAATCCCGTCTGAGTGGTCTCGAGGGAAACGCTGGAAACGGCTGCTGGGTCCCTACGGGGTTTGCACAGTGTTTTTCCAAGGTCTGGTTTGTGTCTGCAGCTCTTGCACTGTCTGTTAAAGCGCTCATCCCACTCGGAGGGGCAGGGGACACGGAGCTGGCCAGATGTGACTTGCCTCAGAGTTGGGGACAGGAGATGGAGATGCTCTGTGGTGGGCTGCAAGTGTCCTTGCGGGGAAGGGGGAGGGGTGCAGGGGTGCGGGTCTGGGACGGTCCTGCAGTGCCTGCATCTTGGGTCCTGGCATGGCAGTCTAGCTCCATTTCAGATAAGCCCCCGTACCTACCTTCACCCCTTATGCTGTATTTTAAACCTAAGTCCGATTATGGCCTCTTCACCTTCCATGACTTTCCATTTGATGCAATAGAAAAGCCCAAGTCCTTCCAATGACAAGGCCCTGCCTGATTCCCTGCCCCTGCCCTGCAGAGGTGTTTTCCAAAGCCATCTAAGATGTTATTTCCAATCCCATGTGTTCTGTAATGGGACCTTGCCGCTTCCCTGTCTCAGGAAGTGAATCTCCTCTCCCTGTCCTCTTGAATCTGAGCTGGCTTTAGTGACACATGTGTAAGCAACAGAATGGGACAGAAGTGACGTGGGGAGGTACCTTTCCAGTTTAGAACAGAGGAAGCCTCACTTTCTGGATGACCCTTGTTCCCCCGGGGCCTCTCTCTGTCTCAATCCAGCTGCTATGCTAGGTGAAGCCAAGCCTCATTTGGGAGAGGCCATGTGTCCCAGCTAAGGCCAGCCTTCCAGTCATCCCAGCCCAGGAACCAGACAAGTCTCTAAAAGTCTCTGTTTTTTTTGGTTTTTTAAATTTTTTATTGTTATGTTAATCACCATACATTACATCATTAGTTTTTGATGCAGTGTTCCATGATTCATTGTTTGTGCATAACACCCA